GCTGTTATCAATAAGCTCCTTTTGAAGTTACTATCATCTCCATAGTGTCAATGTTTTCATGTCTGAAGTATTTAGCAGGTATGTTGAAGACAGTCTAAGACTCTAGTTTAGGTAAGGAACATCTTAGTTTAGCCTACCTTAAAATTCTCAGCACAACAGTTTCATTAGTCCACAGTTGGGCACAATTATCTAACACAAAGTCTATTTTACCACACAGGCTTGAATATCGCTGTAATTTACTGACTGTTCCACTGAATGTGAAAATCTAAGGTTGTACCTGTTTGCTTCTGCACAACTGTACAATAAAAACTTGTAAGTCAAACCATCATAAGTCTGAGAACATCTGAATACTGCTAGAGAGCCATCTCTCAAATACATATGTAGATTTCACACATACACACGTTCAACAAGATATACAATTACATTTATCTTTATTGCACATGATGTATAAGTGGGTTCAAGAATGTCACAGTGTTGCTGCAAAGGAAAGCTACTTCATAAGATTTCAGACTTTTTTATGTTTTCACAGCTCTATGTTCACTATGTATGACCTTAGCGGTAGTGTGATAAATATCTTTATATTTCTTGTATTTTAAAAAATATTTGTAGAACAAGTATTTTTTCTCAATATACTTAAACTGGAAATTATTTTTTCTTTTTAAAATTTATTGGCACATTTTAGGTATACATTCATCACAGGAAATTTATACCTGTACCCAATATGACTTGATTTTTTTCTCCTATTCTTTTATCCTCTCTTTAACCCTTCATCCTTCTTTATTCATAAAAGCTTTGTTTCCATTTTCTTCCTCCTTTTCTCGTTTTTTCTTTTCCATTCCTTCCTTTTAAATGCCATTAATACTAGAATGGACAAGTAAAATGTAGTAATCCAAACAATGAACTATGAAATAGCATTGACAATGAGTAAGAGTAATTATAAATCTCGCACACATAATGTTGAGTTATGAACATTACGAAGCCAAAATGAAATTAGTCACAATAGGAGAACAGGATCTGTAAAATTCTATTCACAGAGTTCAAAAATCAAAGTAGCCCTATGCTTTCCATGTGAGGCTAGTGATTATTCTTGGGTGGTGGCATGAAGGGAGCCCATCTGGGCCTGCTGCGGTGCTGGCAGTGGTCTGGTTCTGGGTTTGGTTTCTATTACAGGTTACCTTTCCAAAGCCCAGCTGTATGACAGTAGCTGAGTTGGTTGCTAAGAGACCCAAGAAAATGCCAGAGACAGTGAAAAATAGGGTTTATTAAGACTTATTAATAGGCACAAACAGAAGAGAACAGGACAGATTGAGACTTTTTAATATAGGATAGGGCTTTGTGGTGAACTTGCCTATGATGTCCAGTCATGGTGCCTGGACAAGAAGCCATTAGATCTAGTGGTGGCAGTCTGGACAGGAAACCAATAGCAATTCACAATATCCGGTGATGGCTGGGTGGATTATAGCATTTGTATCTGTCAGCTTTCCTGTTACTCAGACAAAACACCTCACCTCCACAATTAAGGAAAAAGTTCACTGTTGGCTCATGATTTTAAAAGATTTTTCCTTGGCTGGCTCCAAGACAGAATATGGTGGAAGGGTATAACAGAGAAAAGCTGCTCAATTTCTGGCAGCTGAGAAGCAGAGGATCGGAGAGAGGCACACCTTTCAAATGCACACCTTCAAGGACCCTCCTCTTCTATCTGGGTCCTACCTGTAAAAGTGTATCTGGCAATGAGCATCCATGGATTAATCCCCTCATGAGTACAGTGCCTCCATGATCCTCTCACCTCTCCAGGATCCAGTTCAGTGATGCAGACAGCTAAGATTAACTGCAGTGCAAGGGTCTCCAGGTGTCACTTGAGTCAGAGTGACAGTTAGATGAACTGGCACAGAACTCCTCAGTGCTTTGTTCCCCACTGAGTCATTGCAGGAGGGGGATTTCACAGATTAAATTACCATACACAGCAGTGATATCATTGGTTTCCTTTGTTCTACTGTATGAGCAATGTTACAAGAAACAGCTAATTTCATATAAGGCGCAGGAAGGTAATTCCTCTTTGCAGAAAATAAATACTAATTTGCTGAATTCTCGGATGTCTTTGAGACACACTTAGTCCAGGGCCGGCACACTTAGGATTCCCTGTCTTGGCAGAAGCCAGGGAAACACAAAAAGCATTTCAAGGACACAGTCCTAAATGCCTTACTTTTTCTTAGATGATACAGGTGTGTATTCAGTTTGTTACAACAGGAAACACTGGTCTGCACATGGTGTGTATTTTTGGAATACTGATAGAAATGTAAAAAACCGAACATGTTGGATCCTCAAGAAAATTAGCGTGACATTATTTGGGCTCCCTCTTGGAGCTTCTACTTCTTGAATTTCCAAAGAACCTTGAAGGTTTGCAGAGAACAAAGGAGGAAGGGGAGAATCAATACACCATCTAAAACAACAGGAAATGACACTTATTTTTGTGATACCAGGAATCAAAATCAGGAGCTTGCTCTTGACAAGCAGGCAGTGTGTGCTGCTGAGCTAAATGCTGTCCCATCCTCCCCTTTTAAACAGCGAGTAAAAAACCCCAAATTTCAAAAACAATAGTTAACAATGGTTAATATACTCTGTATTGTTATCTTTAAATTATTCAGAGTACAAGATACCAGCATTTAATTGTCCAAATATCAGCACAAACCTTTCTTTTCAATGAACTGAGAAATTAGTAACATAACTATCTTATACCCTCAGTATATGTGTGTGGGAACTTGATAGGACCTACCAGCAGCCGTGAGGGATCTAGGTTAAAGGAGAGGCCAAGAACGTGTGGCCAGGAACAGTGTGTGTGCCTGCCTGTGGGTGTGTTGGTGATCACAGGACTCAGTGGTAGGACAGCAGTTCAACGAAAGGTGGGATAGGGCAAGTGAGATAAGGCAGAACTTGTCAAGACTGAGAAGCCTAAATCTGGGTGAAAAGGAAGGGTGAGGGCAGAAAGAAGTTTCTTTTACCAGAAAACCGAGGAAAAAAAAAACAGATACAAAGAGGACATTCTGGGTTTCAGAGAAGTCAAGAAGAGTAGGATGTTTCCACAACACTTATGCGATACTCTAGAACAGCAGTGGTGAACCTCTGGCATGCATGTCACAGTGGACACACGCAGCCCCCTGCTGTTGGCATCTGAGTCAAGTGATCTGAAGGAAGCATCATCCCCGCTGCCCAGCATTCAGGTTTAATCGCAGTTGGCATTTTATGAAAACTAAGTTGGTTTTGGGTTGCCGTTTGGGCAGTCTCTAAAAGGTTTCCCCATCACTGCTCTAAGGGAAGTCTAAGTTCCACCCCTTATTTCTGACCTCAGAGACCAGCCCCACCCTCCTAGGTCTCTGGCTGCAGAGGTGGTCAGATGCAAGGCCCTTCTCTTCCCAGAGATGCAGCATTTGACCCTGCTTAAATTCCCACTGCTTTCCTCTCTGCCCTCTCATCCTGAGACCATTGGCCCACAGGTACAGGTCATACCTGATGCTTGATAAGCCTTTCTAGTGGCTGATGCTTGGTGCTTGATAAATCTTTCTAGTGGCTGATGCTTAGTGCTTGATAAGCCTTTCTAGTGATTGAGGCCAGGGACTTTGATGGTTTTTTTGCACTTCTTTTTCATGTCCTTTCACTTTTTTTTTTTTTTTTTTTGCACCACTATAGAGGACCCTTTCCTGTCCTCGTCCTGGAAGATTTATATCTCGAGCAGAGGTTACTGCAATTCTAATCAGTTAATTCCAATCTACCACTTCCAGTGCAATCCAAGGCAAGAATAAAGACACTGTGACATATATACAGTTTTGGGGGTACAAGGGGTCTTAAGTCCAGCCAAGATGGTGGACTTTCTATCCAAGCTTTCTATCCTATCTGGCTCAACCATGTTTTTGGAGTCACTGGGTAGGGTGACACTGACCTGTTGCTTTGCTTCAGAGATTACATATCAGCTCCTCAGCTAACAGTTTACATTGCTTAAAGCTAACTGAAGGGACAAAGAAATAACCTAGCCAGTTCTGTACATAACAATACATGGAGATAGGGCCAAGTTTTCCAAAATGGAGATAGTTGCTCCTCTTTTCAAAGAGAATAGCCTCTGTGGTTCCCCACACACCACAAGACATTCAGTAGACGTAAAGATGGGGACAGGAGTTTGAGAGGAGGTAGCCTGGTCAAACAAGGAAATGAATCACACATCACTCCTTCTGGCATGCTTTCACCTTCAGTCTCCCCTTACCTTGACTGACAGGGTATTTCATTTTCTGAAGCAGCTTCTGGAATAAGGACTGGGCCTTTTCTTCCTCCATCTCTAGGCTTTACCTGCTGATTTGGAATTCATGCTGTCATACATTTCTTCAGGACCAAAGCCTCTTCCTTAAGTGAGGATGTGGCCACACCCAGTGCACATATGTCCATTCTCTACTATGCTTTAATAGACAACATTTATTCCAGGAAAAAAAAACAAAACAAAAAAATCCATAGACGTTTCCTTAAGGGACATTTCAGAGTGCAGTGAGGTTATAATTGGATGTTCCAGGAGGAATAGGAGTTTGCCATTTTATGAGAACACTGAAATTAGGGGGCATCTCAGCCTTGGGCTTCCACAGACGGAGCTCTAAGACCTTTGATACTATCCCTGTTAATCTGAGAGCATGGACAGATTGTATCTCAGGTCTGAGGGGCATGGATGGCAGAGGTCCAGAGCTACAACTGCCCCAAGGGAGATTTTTTCCTTTAAAACCAGGAGGTCCCTCAGTGTGAAGTAACATCCCTTTGGGCAACCATCAAAGCTTAGATGATCTTCTGTCCCCAGAGACTGCTTGGGGAATTACAGAAGATACTCTTTACCTAGGTCTTCTAATGTAAGAGAGGGAGGGTATTCCAGACAGAAAAGAAGAAAAATGTGAAATATTTTAGACACATCCACATTAATCATGTTTATAGAGTTGTCAAGTATTTTGGGTTTAAGGAAGGACTGACTGGGATAGAGAGGCAGAATTTTTATTCTGAAAGCCCTTTTGTAAACCATGAAAGCTGTAACACAGATCTGACCATAGGTAAGCAACTGAAGAGATACAGAGAACAAACAAGTTGAGGAAGGAGGCAGAAACGTCTTTAGCTGACCCAGATGAGGTTGGGCCAAATACACAGTATGTTTCACTAGAGGGAATCATGAAACAACCTAGAGCAGGCATATTGATGTTGAAGGTCTTTTGATGTGTACTTGTTTATTTTCTAGTTTTTTGATACAAGGTCCCCCTATATAATTTAGTCTGGCCTTCAACTCACTATTGTAGCCCAGGCTACCTCTGAATTTGCAGCGATCCTCCCGGCGTAAGAAGACTTTCAGCGACCTCCCTCCTAAAGCCTGCTGGCTGGGATCCCGACAGCTCTGCAGAGACAATGTGGCTCTTTCTTGGGAAAGAGAGGCAGGGTCTGTGGTGAGAAGAGGCACCAATGGGAGCGGATAGCAGCATCCTGAGAAAGCCAGCCACAGTGGATCCTGATCATCACATTTTCAGTGGACAGAGGGTCAGAGGGGCTGCATTTCTTCCATCATCATTGAAACCAGGATTGAAGAAGGGCCGTACAGGTCCGGCAAAGGCACAGTCAGAGAAGGTGTAGATAAGGGAACCATGGTCAGTGATATTGTAGAAGGAGACGACACCAGCCTCGTAGTCCAGGAAAACCCCGATTTGGCGTGGAGACACCTGAAGGTGGAGGGGTGTGTCGGGGCAGGCGCCAGAGTGATACTGTTCTTTCTTCCACAACCAAATTGTCCAGAAGCCATTCTCAGGGCTGAACAAGAAAATCCCTTTTCTCTGCACAGAGTTTCTACAAATTCCTAGGTCCCATGCCTCTTTTCCTGTTACATCTACCTCCCAGTAAAATTTTCCAGAATTGAAACTCTGGGTACCCAGGACTACAGGGTAATTATCGAACCTCTCCTCATTTCCAGCCACGTTCTGTCGGACATGTCCAAACCTCACTTGCCTCCGATCTTCTGAAAGGACAAGCCACTCGTTGGCTGTGTCTCCATCCAGAGTGATGTATACTGCAGAAGGAGATCACATTCAGGCCTGGTGTGTGTGGGGGGCTCAGTGACCCTGTGCTTAAGTATGGAGGGATTCACGTGAACTCCAAGATTGAGAGGGTAACCCTGACACCTCACCACGTGAGGAAACGTCCCCCAGCCAACTGCAGCTCTTGCCCTCATCTCTGAGGGAACACTGCTTGCCTCAGTCTGTACCCTTCCACCTACCTGCCCTCTCTTCTCTATGCTGCTGTCTCTTCTCCCAACCCTGGCATCCTCTCCACACTTTCCCCATCCTCTGCTCCAGCCCTGTTACTCCCAGAGGTCACCTCACCTCCATGCGTCCTCAGCATCCTCTTCAGCCCTGGCACACAGCACACACTATTCAGGGATGGGAGGGCAATGTCCAGGTTTGCAAGGTTCCAGGACTCACTCCTGGGGGGGAGAATTTGAAACCCATGTCACCCATTTCTACCTTTGATTCCAGATCCTAATAATCTCCATGGCTGAGGACTGGTATAAGAATTTATAAACATCTCTTGAGTTCCAAGCATCCAGGTAAGAGGCAAAAAATGTGGGACTGAGTTTCTATCTAGGACTTCCTGTTTCATGCCTGCAGCATGTAGACAGCCTGTATCATCTCTCCCAGCATAGGTTACCATGGAGCTACCTTTTAATTTATTTTGCAGGTAAGGCGTCTGATATAGACCGAGGCACTTCTGTGAGGGAACCTTGAGGAGTCTTGCTCATGCTGTGGGGCTCCCTCATTCTGAGAGTTCTGTAACTGAGCAGGGATCTATTGCAAAAAGGAGTCTTAGCAGGGTGTGGACTTGACAATTCCCAGAATATTCCACTTTGTTGGGCTTTACTCTGTGAAGATGTTATTGTCCAATTACTATGGACAATTCCCCAATTGAAATATGCATTTAGCTTTCTGAGACCAGACAATAAGGATTTTCTAGCGATCAGGTCTTTGAGAATAGGGAGGCAGGTAAGGAAAACTTCAGTGCATGTATGTCTAACTCTGTAACTTTTTAATAGGCATATATGCTTTCTGCTACCCCTTCCTCTAGCAGAGAAAACTTCTTACCTTTCCAGGACAATTGTCACTTCCTAAGAAGAAAAAAAGAGAGACACAGTAAATTCTGGGGTTTCTGGTTTGCAACTGAGACTTTAGTCCTGTGGTGAGTGACCCCTAGGGTTTTGTTCTATCCTTTTTTTTTTTGTGGGGTAACCTGAAACCCAGTACAGTTGCAAAGCACAGCTAGGAAGGGATCACTAGTTTAAGGACTTTGATTCAGAAAATAAACTAGAAAGCCCAGTTTATTGGGATGGGGACTGAAAGAAGTGGGCTGAAGAGAGCAAAGTGTCCAGCTTGGCTGAAGCCCAGAGACAGTCACAGGGAGACAGTGGCCAGGACAGGATGCCAGAGATTTCTCCCTTTCATCTGGGGGCTTCTACTGCTTGGACAGGAAGGTTTGGCTAGCTAAAGCTCTGCTTTGTGTTGTGGTTAATGTTGTCTCCTCCTTTCTGTGACACTCAGGTTGAAAGGGCTGGGATCTCTTCTGGGGGTACTGGCAGACTCCTGGGACCAGTCAAAAGGGTACCAGAAGGTGTAGAGAGCCTTCCAAGTCCAGCCAGTATAAACCAGAAAGGAATAATGAATCCGAGAGACAGCGAAAGGTACGGGAAAAGAGCAGTATGTTGTTAAAGCAGGAGAGACTTCTGAGACCATCTAGTTTACAGTTTTCCAAAGTGAGGTGAACATATCATTGATGGATGCAAGATGGTTTTTGTTTTTGGTACTGGGGATCGAACTCATGATTTAATGCTTGTCAGGCAGGTGCTTATGCAGCTGAACTGTATCCCCAGCCCAAGATGGTTTTAAGTAGAATACACATTGATACTTTTCAAAAAAGTCATGCACTTAATCTAATCTTAACTTTACTTCATCCTACTTAGGTGAAAGTGGTCAAGTATTTAGCTATCATTTCTGTCTATCTTTTTTCTGTTCCTTTGTTTTCTTTCTTTTAATAGTGCTGGGGACTGAATCCAGAACCTCATATATGGTAGGCAAGGACTCCGCCACTGAACTGTCCCCCCCGATCTCATCTGTTCATCTCAGAGATGGGATAAAAGCAGCACCCTCCTGAAGCCTGACATGTCATATGTGCTATTTAAGAATTTGCAGGTACTCTTATGCAATAAGTTAGAAAAAATGTTAGTAATATTAGTATATGATTTTTTGGCTAATATTGTTTTGGAAAACATCTTTTAAAACTAACTTTATTCAGGGAAAAGAGACAATTTGAAGAAAAATGACATGCTAAGGTCAATGTGTTAGTTCAGCGAAATAACAGGAAGTGTATGACACATTTCTGACTAGCATAAGGGATATTCTTGTTACTTAGAGCACTCTTTCATTTCACAATTGGAGAAATTGGGTCTTGAAAGGGAAAATAGTTTATAGTTTTGGAGAGAACTGGTAGCAGGCTGGAGTTGAGCTATTTTTCCTTAACTTTCAATTCAGGTTTTGAAATTATATTTATTAAAACATTCTTATGGCCAGACATTGATTTATCTAAGACCTGTACTGGATTTTCTCATTTAATGATGCCAAATACTCTTGAGATGCCAAATACTCTTCAGTTAACAAACAAACAACGAAACATTTAACAAACACGAAACATGATGCTCAGAAAAATTACAGAGCTTTCTCAAGCTCCCACATGTGGTGGTGAAGCAGATATCAGCAAAGTTTATTTCTGTTGATCGCTGGGCAGTGTATTTCCTCCTACATTTGTATCCTTTGGTCTCTTGACTGGAAATCATTTAAGGGTCTGAATTCCAGGTCATTTAACAACATTCTAGGATTAGGATTCAGTTTGCTCTAAGAGTGGCTTGCCAGAGATCTGGCTTTTTCGGTTTCTCCCTGACATTCTCTTCTGGTCTTACCTGCAGCAGTTCCGTCCTGGAGCCCTGACTCCTCCATTCCAGTTCTGAGATTAGTGCCTGCAGGGCCTGGCTCTGTTGGCTGAGTTTTTCCTCCATTTCCCCCAGAATTCTCAGCTGTTCACGTTCATCTTTTTCCAGCTTCTGTATCTGTCTCTGTTCCTCTTCAACCAGGAAGTTTCTCTGCTGCACAAACTCTGCATGAATCCTCGATTTGTGTGTCTCAACTTTCTCCTTCGGTATCAAAGAAGAGAGAGGGAGAGGTGGACTAATCAAAATTTCCTAAGCTTTGAGGATGGAGGGAGATGTTGGTACCTAAACTAATCCTAGAGACTTGTCATTCTGGTTATGCCTGTTACTACACACACACACACACACACACACACACACACACACACACACGCACACACGCACACACGCACACACGCACACACGCACACACAATTTTGCTAGGAGGCAGGTGACTATATGAAGTCTCTTGGACTAAGGGAGAACAGTTTGGGGTCCATCGTAACTAATCTACAACTACAGCTACATCAATCTATGGCATCAGCAGATAGTTTTTCAACCTCTTCAATGTTGCCTTTTTTTTTTTTTTTTTTTTTTTTTTGCAGTACTGGGGTTTGAACTCACGGCCTCACACTTGCCAGGCAGATGCTTATGCCACTGAGCTAAATCCCCAGCCCTTTTCAACCTCTTCTAAAAACATAGTCACTGCCCAAATGAGTCCCTCTATCTTTGTATCTTAGTAAGTTACAGGCAGAGTAAAACCGTCCCTATACCCAAAGACTGCACATAAAGAAAGGCTCGCTATACAATTCTTAAGTCTTGGGGAATACTGGGTCCCTACCTAGATCCCCAATCTCCCAAATGAGTATACAGTAAAGGATTAAACAAAATGAGAGAAGTGGTATGATTATAAGGCTCCAGGAGGACCAAAACCCTTTAGCTGAGATGGAGACTCTGAGGGCTAAGACAAAGACTTCTCTGGATCACCCATGTTTATTAGGTCCAAAATAAAGGGTGAGGAAACTGAGGAAAGCATGGGAAATGAGTAGGAGTTACTTCAAAGACTTCTCCAAGTAGTAAATTATGCCAATTTGGGAGAAGGGTCTTATCTCCAGGATGACATTTACGGTAGGAGTGCAACGGTACAAGTGAGATTTCTTCAGCTGTAGTCTCTATTTGCTTAATTAGTGTTGGAGCCAAGGTGTCCTCAGCTGTGGTCTTATACCCTCTGAGGTATCTCTGTCATCACAGGCCACTACAGGCTTCAGCCAGGACCAGTGACTCATAGAGGTTCACTTATTATGAATCAGCTCCCGTGGCCAGGTAAGGGGTCGAGGCCTAGGACAGACTCAGAGATAAACATAGAAAGCCAATTAGTTAATTTTAAATCCTGCTCAGAGCCACTTTGTAGCGGTCTCCAACAGAGGAAAGGAGAGCCCTGAGACATTCTTTTCTTGTGATCTCTGGCTAGTAACTGGAGTGTCTCCCTGATGATACAGAATGACCTTTTTTTGTGACTGCAGCCTGACTCAGCCTTCCTTAATCCCAAATTTTCCTTTGCTGGGGTGTATGGAACAGGCTTTAACTCTCCATTATACTTTGGATCAGTGATCTGGAAACGGTTAAGCAATTACCTAGTCAGACTGGTTTTCCTACTGCATATTTTGATGGATTCCTTCAGTCTGTTCTTCACAGCCCTTGCCATTTCCTACAGTGTGACTAGTTGAGCTTCTCTCGTGGGTTATCTCTATTGTTCTGGAGACTGGGCTGAGATAGTGAAGAGCTTTAAAGTGTAGCCTGACCCTCTTAGCACATTCTTCAGTGACTCTGCATCTTTGCGCCTGATTGACAACTCTTCTTTGAGCCTTCACCCTTTTTCTCCCTTTCTATCTGGAGACCTAGAATTTAGGTCGCTCTTCAAAAGTAAGTTGTACCAACTCCGTAATTCTGATAGGCATAGCTATGGTTAAGGGGAAGGGATCTTCGCCCAGCCTTGGACCCTGCCCAGCCTCTGATGCTTACCTTCCAGTCTATTCTCTTCGCTGCAATATTTACTCCCAACTTCTCGGCCAGTTCCTGCTGTTGTCTCAGTTTCTGTAATGCTACTTGGATCCTCCTCTGCAGAGAATGACAGCAGGTGAATCCTCAATCAGATTAAGTAGGGATATGCGTTGGGTTAGTTCATACTGTTCTTAGATAAAGCCTAAATGCAGAGGAGTGAGGCCTAGACACTGATTGGAGTAGGAAGTTTCTGGATGGAAAGACTTCGGAACCGGCTTATGTGTTTACAAAACAGCTAAGCTCTTGAGGGTGGTAGAATGGGAGCGCTACTCATGAGTAATTAATCAGGAGGCCACAAGGAAACATCATGATCTGTTTAGTATTTTCCCATAGTGTATTTCCTGCTCCGGAGGAATAAGGTTATGTTTAATTTGCAATTTTCTCTAATAGAGGGAAGGAAGTATCTCTCCTTTTCTTACCTTTTCAATTCCAGCTGTGACTTTCTCCCACTATCCAGTCTGGGGAGCAAAGAATTCACCAGTGTTCAACAGGCTACTCGTTTGGGTCTTGTACTAAGGCCTCACCTGGTATTCCTGAACTGCATCCTCAATAGGGATCTTGTTGTGTGTTCGGTGTTTCATGGACTGGTCACACACCCAGCAGAGGGCCTGTCCATCTTTCTCACAGAACAGGAGAAGCCTCTCTCTATGCACCACACACCGTTCCCCTGGTGCTTTCTCCTCGGCATCCTGGTTCATTTGTTTGAGTGTGTCCATCACATTGGCTATGTGCCAATTGGGCCTGACATTCTTAAGCAGAAAGCACCGCCGGCATGTCGGACAGACACCACCTCCGTTTTTCCCGACTTGAGAGATACACTCCTGGCAGAAGCTGTGACCACAGTCAATGCTCACAGGTTCCACCATGGCATCCAGGCAGATACAGCATGTTACCTCCTCCCACATCTTTGCCAAGGGCTCTGATGAGGCCATGGGATGGTGTGCCTGGTATGCAGCGCTATGGAGACCTTGAAGGGAAAGACCTTGGCAGAGAGGAAAGAGAAAAGAGAAATTAGAAGGTTTACATGAGAAAAACAATGCAGAGGAAAACATAAATCAGAATGAACTGGAGGGGTGACAACAAGAAAGGCAACAATATCAACCTGCATATCAGGACCCTCTCCTCTGCAGTCTGCCCATTGACCTAGTTAGGCAGAAGGGAGGCTGAGTCTCTAGCCGAGCAGAGAAAACCTGTGGAACTTCAGAAATAAAGCTGTTGGCAATTCTGTTTTCACCGTACCTATCTGGGCTTAAATCCTCAGTATCCAGTTTCTCCCTACACATTTTCTCCCATCTCATGCCAACAAGCCTCCAAGTTACTAAGAAGTGAATCATCATAGTGATCGTTTACCATGCAATGTCCATGTTCTAAAGGTGCTACCTGTTTTGCACAGATCCGCATTAATCTTTACAACAGTGGCAAGAATCAGGTGTACACAGTCAAGTGCCACATATGATGAAGGGCTGGACGTGCAGGAGTGGAGCAGTAGGCCATACTATATAGCCCAGATATACTATGGGCTCTGTCACCTGAGTTTGTGTAAGTAAACTCTACGATGTTTGCATAGCCATGAAATCACCTAAAAGCACATTAAAAAAAAAAAAAAAAACCCAGATCCTATTCCCATCTTAAGGAAATCTTTATTTTGATATATTCTTATACAAAATGCATATTACATATGTATGTACATAGGTACGTATGTATACGTGTGCTGAACACTGCCTGGGCTCTGAGCTGCTCCAAATTTCCTTGAGGCCATAAAGTCTTTGAACCCACAGAAATTTCTAGCGAAACATCCTAACTAGCCTGCCCCTCTCATCTCCAATGGAGGCTGACAGGGCAAGAGTCTCACTGGGTGGGGTCTGGGTTATTAAGGTCCTGTCCTCCCATGTCAGGTGCCAGCCTCAGAGCAGCCCCAGCTCCCTCCAGGTGACCGCGAGTCACTTTCAGAGCCGCCTCCGCTGGGGCAGAGAGGCCCGGCGGCCAGGAGGGACTGTGGATCGGGGTGCGCGAACCCGCAGTGGAGAAGGCGCCCGCGGGACCCCAGGCTCCAGCCGGAGACTGGCGGGAAGAAGCAATTCAAATCTGGCCCGGGAGCGCGGTCCCCAACACAGGCCAGGGTACCTGGGGGAGCCGGCTCCACTCACCTTTTTGGGGTCTCGGTGTAGGTTGCCTGGCCCCTGCTTCACTTTCTGGGAACTCGCTGTGGCCACCAGGTCCCTATTTCACTTTCGGTTTCCCCTAAGACAGGGGCAGGGCACTGGGAGGAGCGAGAAGGGGAGGAAGGGAGGAGGAGCGCAAGGGAGAGGCGGAGCTGCGGCCATTGCAGGGCCGGGCGGGGGAGAGAGAGGATAGGGCGGGGGGCCCGCGGAGCCCCAGCCTCCGGCGCTGCGCTGCTGCCACCGAGCCGCAGCTCGGCACGCGTCCTCCGGGTGCGCGCTCTGCCAATGCTTGCTATCTAATGTAATAAAAATGCTTCAAGGTAATTTACAAGATGGAAGAGACGATGCTGCTTTCCCTGACACTGTTGGTTACCCTGCGTCTAGGCGCTGCTGTCCAAAGCGCCTGCTTCCGTGCCACCATCCACTTCTGACTGATGGGCATATAACTAACTACACTTGGGTGTGGAGTCCACGTTCTTTAAAGTGGAAGAGTGGATTCCAAGGAAGGGTGAGGTTAAGAGTATGAGAGATACAGAGATAGAGATAGAGATAGAGACAGAGACAGAGATAGAAATAGAGATACAGTCAAAGAGATAGGGAGGGAGGTAAGAGATAGGGACACACACACACACACACACACACACACACAGAGAGAGAGAGAGAGAGAGAGAGAGAGAGAGAGAGAGAGAGAGAGACAGAGAGAGAGACAGAGAGACAGAGACAGAGAGAGACAGAGAGACAGAGAGAGAGACTCAAGAGGAGATCTAGGTGCTCAAAGGAACGAGGCACATCCAACTAGAGAATAAAGTTGGGAAATGGGGGAAGCCCCTGATAGACAAGAGGGGACTGGAGTGGGTTGCAGGTCATCTCTTGGAGAATATTTTACAGGGCAAAGTTACAGAGGTGGGCACAGTGTGAGTCAACTGTAGTCAATCAATAGGTTTACAAGTATAGCTGCTTTGCTAATATTGATCCAATAGTGAAGCAGGGCATGTAGCAAGGATATGTGGGTAACATTAACTTTGGTCCATAATCTATGGTTTCAGTCTTGTTTTTAGTCATAGTAGTCTAAGTCTTAGTGGGTGGGAAAGTATGCTTCACTCCTAGTACGATAATGTTTATTTCCATGGGAAATTTCAAAAGAGTGATATCACCTATAGAATAGTAATCTTGAGTTTCCACTTCTCTCTCAGGGAGATGTGTAAACCTGGCCATAGTGATTTTAATCTCAAGGTCTTGCCCTCTTTTTTTTTTTTTCAAATTTTATTTAAAAGGAAAAAGAGAAAAAACAAAACAAAACAAAGCAGTGTAAGGGCACAAGCAATACAGAACTACAAAACAAAACAAAACAACAAAAAAACCCCCCACAAAAAACAGCAAGAAATCACCGGTTAATAGATTACATATTATCATCTTAGAGATAGCTGCTCAAATCACAGTATCAAAGCATACAAAGTGGACACTCAAACAGTGAGACTGCAAACAGCCGTGTTCAATGATCCAACCAAAAACATCAATATGGTCAGCTATTTAACACCCCCAAACACTCTCGCTGTTGCATCATTTAGAACTCTTTTTTTCCCCTCTCTTTTTTACAACAAAATTTACACATTTTGGGTTTTATTACTCCTTAGTCCTTATTAGTTTTTTTTGGGGGGGGAGAGAATAAAGTCAAATATGGCAAAACAAAGCTGGCAGTCAAACCAAGGATAGACATAGCACATGATGCAAAACAGAGTACAAGGTTATCAACAATGGTTATCAACAATGGTTATCAACAATGTCTCTTGTTTCCTTAAAAAGAATTGTCTATCTCATTATATATTATAAAGTTGAACAAAACAGTAGAGAACAAGACCAACAAAACTTAAGCATTGCAAACATTACAGGACTTCCAAAGGTGACAATAGTCAAACCAGAATGGGCATCTTAGTGAATCTTACTGCCTTCAAAGTAGTTGCCTATACCCTCAAACTTGATACCATCACACAGAATGGAACAGAGTCCAATCAGTCAAAACAAGACAGTGGGAGTATTACAGGACTTCAAAACAAGTCAATAGGAAATCAAAAAAGTTACTATTATATATCCTGCTAATTTTAAAAATTTTCCCCCTTAATTAAAAAAATAACTAAATAATTTTTTAAAGAATAAGGGAGAGATTGAGATAAAACAAGACATAACAAAATAACAATACAGGTCAAAGCATGACTGCCTCAGCAACCTAGTGGTTCATCACCAAATAACCCGACTTAATAGTAGTTACCATAGTGTCTGTCTTTTTCCTTGAAATATTTGAATAAAACTTCATATACTATAGTTTCAAGTATTTCCATATCAAGAAGCCCAGAATAAAGCCTTTCCAATTAATAAGTGAAAACTTTATAAGGCTTCAAGGCCACATAATGGGGAATCATGATTACCACATATTTTTATATATTTGAATCATTACTTACATTAGGGAAACTATTCAGTATTCATGCGAGATTGATTTATTTCACTTATGAGTATGGTCTCAAGCTGCACCCATTTATTGATAAATATCTCAATGTGATCCTTTTTTATAGCTGAATAATACTCCATTGTATAGAAATACCACAACTTTTTTATCCATTCCTCAGTTGATGGACACTTGGGTTGTTTCCAAGATCTGGCGATTACAAATTGTGCTGCTATAAGCATAGGTGCGCATATATCACTGTGGTATGATGCTTTCAGTTCTTCTGGGAATATGCCTAGAAGTAGAATAGCTGGAATAAATGGGATTTCCAATCCCAACTTTTTGAGAAATCTCCAGAAAGACCTCCACAAAGGCTGTACCAGTCTACACTCCCACCAACAGTGCAGGAGAGTTCCTTTTTCCCCACAGCCTCTCCAGCATTTGTTGTTGTTGGTTTTCTTGATCCTGGCCATTCTTTCAGGAGTGAGATGGTATCTCAGTGTGGTTTTAATTTGCATTTCTCTAATGACCAATGATGATGAACATTTTTTCATGTATTTATTTGCCATTTGCATTTCTTCATCCGAGAAGTGCGTATTCATCTCAGATGCCCATTTTTGGATTGGATCTTTGAATTTTGGGGGTCTGAGTTTTTTTTAATTCTTTATATGTTTTAGACAAGAGTCCCTTGTCTGAGAGAGAGTTCACTAAAATCTTTTCCCAGTTTGTGGGTTTTCTTTTTACCATGCTGGAGATTTGTTTTGACATGCAGAAACTTTTTAATAAGAAGTGGTCCCAGTTATTGATTCTGGGAAGTATTTCCCGTGTGGTTTGAGTCCTGTTCATGAATTCTCTAACTACTCCTATGTCTTCAAGGTTTCTACCCAATTTGTCTTCCAATAGATTTAGTGTTTCTGTTTTAATATTCAGATCTTTGACCCATTTAGATTTTAATTTAGTACATGGTGATAGACATGGGTCTAGCTTTAGTTTTCGGCAAATGGAGAGCCAGTTTTTCCAGCACCATTTATTAAAGAGACTGTCGTTCTTCCAGTGAACCTGCTTGGCTCCTTTATCAAAAATAAGGTGGTTGAGTGTGTTCGTAGTTGTGGTTGTATCTTCTATTCTATTCCACTGATCTTCAGCTCTGTTTTGATTCCAATACCATGTTGATTTTACTACTGTTGCTTTGTAGTATAACTTCAAGTCAGGGATTGTGATGCCTCCTGCTTTGTCTTTGCTGCTTAGAATTGCCTTTGCGATTCTAGGTCTCTTCTGGTTCCAGATGAAATTCAGGAGTGATTTCTCTAGATCTATAAGGTATGTTGATGGTATTTCTATTGGGATTGCATTGAATCTGTATAACAGTTTTGGGAGAATGGCCATTTTCACAATGTTTGTTCTTCCTATCCATGAGCAAGGGATGTCTTTCCATTTTCTGAGATCATCTTCAATTTCCTTTTTCAGTGTATTATAATTTTCACTGTATAAGTCTTTCACTTCTTTCGTAAGAGTAATTCCTAAATATTTCATTTTTTTGCTTGCTAATGTGAATAGTCCAGTTTCTCTTATTTCCCTCTCTGTAATTTTGTTGTTTGTGTATAGGAATGCTATTGATTTCTGAGTATTGATTTTGTATCCAGCCACATTACTGAATTTATTTATTGTATCTAAGAGTATTTCAATGGAGTTTAGGGGGTCTTCTATGTAGAGTATCATGTCCTCTGCAAACAATGATAATTTAACTTCTTCTTTTCCTATCTTTACCCCTTTTATTTCTCTTTCATGCCTAATTGCTCTGGCTAGTACTTCCAGTACTATATTAAATAGGAGTGGTGATAAAGGACATCCTTGTCTTGTACCCGATTTTAAAGTAAAGGCTTTCAATTTTTGGCCATTTAGTATGATGCTGGCTGTTGGTTTGTCATAAATGGCCTTTATTATATTGAGGTAAAGACCATTTATTCCAATTTTCTGTAAAGTTCTTATCATGAATAAGTGTTGGACCTTATCGAAGGCTTTTTCTGCATCTATAGAGATAATCATGTGATTCTTATTTTTGGCTTTATTGATATGGTGGATTACATTTATTGATTTGCGTATGTTGAACCATCCTTGCATTCCTGGGATAAATCCCACCTGGTCATGGTGTATAATCTTCTTGATGATTTGCTGCATCCTATTTGCCAATATTTTATTGAGGATTTTTGCATCTGTGTTCATTAGGGAGATCGGTCTGTAGTTCTCTTTTATAGTTGGGTCTTTCTCAGGTTTTGGTACTAGAGTAATATTTGCTTCCAGGAATGACTTAGGAAGGATTGCTTCCCTTTCAATTTCATTGAATAGTTTGAGGAGTGTCGGCATTAGGTCTTCTTTATATTTCTTGTAGAATTCTGCAGTGAATCCATCTGGGCCTGGGCTCTTCTTGGTGGGCAAGGACCCAATTACATTCTCAATTTCATTAGCAGAGATTGGGTTATTCAACAGTTTTATATCCTCTTGATCTAGCTTTGGTACTTCATATGCTTCTAAGAATCTGTCTATTTCTTCTGTGTTATCAAACTTTTGAGAGTAGAGGTTTTTGAAATAGGTGTTGATGATCCTCTGTATTTCTATTGGGTCTGTAGTGATTTCTCCTTTTTCATTTCTTATTGCATGAATTTGAGCTTTTTCTTCCCTTTTTTTAATAAGGTTGGCTAGGGGCTTATCTATTTTATTTATTCTTTCAAAGAACCAACTCTTTGATTCGTTGATTCTTTGGATTGTTTTCTTAGTCTCTATTGCATTGATTTCTGCTCTGATTTTTATAATTTCCTCTCTTCTTTTGGCT